GGCGGAATGCGTCCCAGGCTCCCAAGCAAGATGGCGGCAGCCCTGGGCAACTGTTCCAGTGTGTCCCCACCCTCAGAATCAGCAATTGCCGGCCAACAGCCAGTCTGTATCTCCCCTCTTTTTTCAGCATTACGCATCACCTCCAGAAGAGCTGGTGCCCTCAGGCACACCTTTCCCCACGGTGGACCGCTTGCCTGGGTAACATACCAGATCTTCTTTGAAGGGACTCCTTTCCCTCTCGGCCCTTAGGGAGAGTCACCTCCACGAGGGGAAGGCTCATGCCTCATTTCCAAGGGCTTTGCCAATGCCCCCTGCCCGTGAAAGGGATCCCAGATGCCTGCCTTTGCTGCCCACCTAGTCCAGGCTTGTGGCCCCGTTCTCCCAGTGTCAGAGTGCTCCCCTGCATGACAGCTGAAGTCTTTTCACATATCAGCTCACTCGTGCTCAGGAGTCAAATGGTTCTCGTCTCCTTTATGAGTTCTGCCTCTTCCTCCTGCCGTTCTTGTCATGGCCTGGCTTCATTCTCATCCTCTTCTTCTACCCTCGTCTTAGAATGTATTTCCTTTCTTACTAAAGGAGCTGATTTTCACAGCCTCATTTTGCACTTTTTAATAAGGGCTATGGATACTGGCACAGTTGGGTTCTCTGGTTGAACCACGTGGGCTGTCACGAAGTCGGGTGCTGGTACAGGGCCAGCTGGAGGCCTTTGGTGATGGAGTGACAGGCTGGAAAGGTGGGCCTGGGTGAACCTGATGAGGTTCAACACAGCAAAGTGCAGAGTTTGGCATTGGGCTGGAGGAATCCCAGGCATCCTTACAGACTGGAAGGAGCTCCTTGAGAGCAGGGGACCTGGGACCTTGAGAGAGAGGGACCTGGGAGTCTTGATAGATGAAAAACAAAACATGAGCCAGCAGTGTGCTCTTGTGGCTTGGAAGGCAAATGGTATCCTGTGCTCCATCAGAAGAAGGCTGGCCAGCAGGGACAGGGAGGTGATTGTCCCCCTCTACTCTGCTCTTGTGAGGCCCCCTCTGCAGTACTGTGTCCAGGTCTGGAACCCCCAGTACAAAAAAGACAGGGAGCTGTTGGAGAGGGTCTAGGGGAGAGCCATGAAGATGATCAGGGGCTGGAACAGCTCCCCTACAAAGACAGACTGAGAGAGCTGGGTTTGTTCAGCCTTCAGAAAAGAAGGCTGTGGGGTGAGCTCATTGCAGCCTTTCAGCTCCTAAAGGGAGCCTACAAACAGGAGGGGAATCAACTCTGAAAGGATAGATAACTGCAGGACAAGGGGAAATGATTTGATGTTGAGGGAGGGAAAATTGAGGTAGGATGTTAGGGGGAAATTCTTTACAGAGAGAGTGGTGAGGTGCTGGAACAGCTGCCCAGAGAGGCTGTGGATGCCCCGTCCATCCCTGGAGGTGTTCAAGGCCAGGCTGGATGGGGTCCTGGTCAATCTGGTCTAGTATTAAATGGGGAGGTTGGTGGCCCTGCATGTGGCAGGAAGGCTGGAGCTTCATGATCCTTGAGGTCCCTTCTAACCCTGGCCATTCTGTGATTGTGTGATTCTGTAATTATAACTCCTTCTGGAGCTTGGATGCCTCCCCAGGCTTTGCCGTCACATCCAGCACCCGACTGGAAAGCAGCAAAATGGGTGTAGTTAGGCACAAGGGCTGGAGAGCAGAAACAGCTGGAGAAGGAATAGGTGTGGGCAGATGGATGTGGGATCCCACCCTCCCAGGTGCTCTCCCACCAGCTGAGAAGCCCACAGAGGTTCTGTTTGGACACAGATTTGCAGCAGCTCAGCTCTGTTTGCATGTGCAGCAATGTGCTGGTAAGGCAGTGGGGTACCCACAGCTCACCTGGGTTCTACTGTGCCCAAATCCTAGACGTACGCTGCCAGCACTAAGTGGGAATCAGCATCACTCCCGAGGTGCCTCTACCTGCCTCCTTTTGTGATGTGGGAACAGGATTCAAGCACTGAGAAACGTTGTTTTCAGAGAACGAGGAACAGAGGATCTTGTGCCTGATTGGAGCCTCTTTGTACATACAGTTTAAAGCCTCAAGCTGAGATCCAACAATAACCTGATCCTTTTCATTTGGACACTTGGTGGCTCCTCTGTCTTTTCTGATTCCATATTCTACTGAGATATGCATTAGTATCTCATATGAGAGTGGAAAGTTTGAGGAAATTTGGTGAAGTTTTCAGTGATTTCTGTTGCTTTTCTGTTGTCACCTCTCTCTGTCCATGCCCAGTGGCTGGTTGTCACACTGTTAGGTCCAACAGTCCACGAGCTGGTAAGAGTATTTAAAATTTGTCATTTCATATAAAAATCCTCTTAAAAAGGTGTTTGCCAATGGTATTACTGCTGAAAATCCCTCCAGCACCTGAGATTTAAACCTGATCAGTGGATACTGTTGAGTCAACTTTATTGTTTTAAAATGCAGAAGTGGGAGGGGAGGAAGGGTGAAGCTGGGGGCACTGCTCAGTGGCTCTGTCACTCCACCAGACTGCATTCAGAGCTAAGGGCAGGACGTGTGCTGCCATGCAGCTCGCTGGTGGAGGCTCCCATCCCCACGCTGGCCCACCTACCTCGCCTCACAGAACCTCTTCGTAAGCCTGGGACGGTCCTGGGCCCGCCGCTGCCGGAACCAGCTCTGCACTGTTCTGACTGGCAGGCCGCTTTGCTTGGCCACTGAAATCAGGTCCTCCTGCAGAACAGATGGGGAAAGCAGCGCCTTGCCTCCCTGACTCTTTCTGTCTCCATGTGGGGGCAGGGGCTGCTTCTGCCCCTCGGGGTCGGTGCTTCCCCAGAGACCGCCTCTCTTTGGGAAAGAACTGCATCTGCTGTGCTTGCACTGCTGACCTCCCGCATCACTTTGGCCGTCCTAAAACTCCATGCAGAAATATGTAAACCCAGGTTTGGAGCTTAGCACCGGCTCTCTGTCCAACTTTTCCAGCAGTGGGACTCAGTGCCTGCTCTGAAAGCCTAACTACAATTTTTTCACCTCTGAAGGTGAGTTTCTTCAGACCTCAGCCCAGGAGTCTTTCTGAACACCTTTGCAAAGCACTACCAGCAGGTTCTCTCCTCTGCATAAACTTGTTGACTCTTTGGGAGAACTCTGGCAGAGAAAGACATGATTTCCTCACACACAACACATGGGAGCTCTTTCCCACAACGTAATGTTCACACACGTTTCCAGTAACTCATGGTACGTTGTGCCAATCTGCTCGGACCAGATGTCAGCAGCTCCTCACATTTCCACCTGGGACTTCCATCAGTTTCTGACACCACCATGGTTTGAAACAACAGCGACCCTGCTCAGTTGGTAGCTGAACTCTTTATTGTGTCAGCTCCCTCTTGGCTCTTGGGTGAATACCACCCAGGCTGAAGGTTTGCTGTTATTCCATTGCTGTTTCTTATAGAACCCCTTCATGCCCATCATTTGGTGGGATGCAGCCTCAGCAAGAAGACAGCTGATGTGGACACCGCCTGCTTCCAAGTAGGAAAGCCTTATGCAGGCAGCAACAGGCAGCTCCAGCCTGATCCCTTCTCACCCTTATTATTTTAAGTCTCCTACAGTTTTCCCAGTGTTTTTCAGAGCAGATTACTGCTGCCCTTTGTTTCTCGGTGTATTTCCTGGTATGTCCAGATCAATCTGCCAAGCTTACGAGTCCTTTCCTTGTTTAGACATGACTTCAGCTTTCTGCTGTTTCTTAGGGACGCCCCTGCCTGCAGGCACTGTCTGTTGCACACGTGCAGATGAGAAAAGCAATGTTGTTTGAAGCGCAGTCATCCAGTAAAGGCTCCCTTGGGCATACGTGTCTGAATCAAGAAACACAGTGGATGCACTTCTCCCATGTTTCCAGTGCGTGCTTTAAAAACACGACCCCAAGCAGTGCCCACTGGAGCCAGCAGCTCGGTGCCAGCTGCCAGCCCTGGGGCCCAGCTGTTCCAGTCTCCAGCTCAGCACTGCACAGCTGCCTAAAGACACCAGGAGAGGTTCTCTTTCTCACAGCTCACCTGGAGCTGGACATTCCATCTCTCCTGCAGCTTGATGACACTGGCGCACACATGGTGCAGTGCACTCCTTTGTTGCACACAGGGCTGATAAGGATCAATTGCAAAGAGATTCTGCTGTTGCACCCGGAGCTCCATTCGCTCTGCTGGGTTATTTTAGCAGATGTGACACAGAGTTTTGCTGCAGGTTTTTACAGCAGCTTCTCAGTTTTGAGGTCTGTGATGCTCCAAGAGGAACTGCGTCCATGGGTGGTGATAAAGGGAGTTGATGCAATGAATTCAGAAATACTAATGCAGCACTCACAAACTTCCTGACACCAGAGCAGACATAGAGCGAATGTGGAGCCATTGTGGGGAGAAAGCAGCACACAGAGCTTCGCTGAGCCATAGCAATTTGATGGCAAGAAAAATTCTGCTGTGTGATGGGCCGCAGTGATTCACCGCTGCCATGCTCAGTTACTCAGTTGAAGTGTCCTAATTCAGCCCCCAAGAGCCCTCCCAAATCCTTGATGCATCCTTTCACAGTGATCAGATCAGCCTTACAATGAGCCTGGGCAGAGCATTCTGCTCCTCAGATGTGTTGTGATTTTACAGCATCAATCCTTGCCACCCTTCTGAAACCTCACGACAAAGAAGACTCCAGATGCATTTCCCTTCCCACGTCCCCACAGCTCCAAATCACCCACCAGACTGTGGACTCCCATTGCTCTGTCAGTGCCACGTCACCTGGACTGCCTCTAGATTTAACACAGGGGTGCCCCAAACTGCTTCAGGGCCAAATGAAGCTTCACCAAGCAGGACACAAAGGAGGCAGCTGCTGCTCTTTTCTGGCCGGCCTGATACGGCTGAATGCTCTGCAGCATCACCTCCATGCACGCTGAGTGTTCAACAGCCCTGGCAACAGCACCAAGACGTGTCACCAACCAGCCTGCTCACCTCCTGAGAGTCCAAGAAGTAGAAAAGAGCCCAGAGAGCCAAGCCATTCAAAAGTAATTTACAAAGAACTGTTACATTCAGTAGTACAAAATGATACATAACCATTCCTCCTGAGCTCACCGCCTGCAGAGGAGTGGCAAGATTGCACATGTGGATTACAGAAACATGACCGTATACAGAAATTGTACTCTGAACTCTAAATTACCCCAACATCCAGAGAGAAGCTGTCTTCAACAAACATGGATTTAATGATCCGCATGAAATGATGATGCAGGAAGAGATGCTCTGCTCTGAGTATGTCACTGCCCTGGAATCAATCACCTGTGCTGGAACCACTTTTCCCTCTGAAGTTATCCAATATATTTTGATTGAAACCTAAGACCAAAGGCTAAAATCAAAGCTTCCCCAGTCATATTTCAGGTGAACTTGGTGAGCTGCTGAAAACCGTCATCCTACTAGACTGTCATTTGCCTCTTAACTTTATAAATGTGCACCACCTCCTAGAATTGGGCATTTCCTTGGTCCGTGTCCATCAGTTAGCACTGGACCTTGCCAGGCACAGACAGGGAAGCGTCTGCATGGCCTGCACAGACTAAGTCCCTGCTATTGTAACAGCAAATCTGTTAGTAATGTGGTTTCATAGTTTAATAGATCTATAAGACAGAAATCTGTGCCATACCTATTTAACTCTCCTAAGGCATTACAGAATCAAAAGTCTAAAACTACACAGGATATAAGATACAAAACGTCTAAAGGAATGAATCAGAATTGCATCATGACTTCACTGCCTACTGCTTTAAACTCCCAGCACATCTAGGCAGCGGCCCCAGAATTAGAAGCCTAAATTAAAGCATTGTGCCATGAAGTTCAGCAGATCTTCTCTGATTCTTCTCCCTCTGAGAACAGGGGTGTTCTATTCCCTTCTTACCACAAGCTGACTGCAAATATCTCCCACTGTGCCAATCATCCTACATAAAAACATGAGCACTGGATCGGTGTTGTCCTCTAGAATATCAATTTCCTTGTCCCCCCTCTTCTCCTGAAATTGTTACTTTCCAAGATGGGATTCATTATCTGACAGCTGAGACACAACTGCTTGGATTTTCTAGCCCCTACAACCACGACTGGGGTGGGAACTCTCTTCATTACAGCCTTTGGAGTTCCCCCCCTTTGAGGCAACAGTGCTGACAAGAGAAGGGACTGAGATCCATACGTTACAAAACCAGTCACATGGCACACAGCAGCATTTCCTGTACGAAAATGTTTTCTCCTGTATCTTTCCAAAGCTTTTATACCACTATACACAGTTTCAATGTTATGAGTACGTATTGGGCACCTCTGCTCTTGAAGTGTCCCTGTGTTAAGGTTTAGAGTTTCACACTTCCTGTCCATAGTCATTAGTGGCAGTGGGCTTTGGCTTCCAGAGGCCATTCCAAATAGATTCCTATCAAACAGCATTAGGCAGTTAAGAGGTGACATTGTCCAACATCATCCACTGTTCTGAGTGTTTTTCAAGATCAACATGTTTAACACCTGCTGTGATATTGTCTAGTTTAAGTCAAACCACCTGGATCCCCTTCTATTTGCCTCAAGGCTACAACCTACAGAAAACTTACGTTGAAGAAAGACCAAAAACTCCCCTCAGATATCACTAACTGTACACAATTCTGTTTACAATAAAAACAAATTTAGTTATGATACTGCAATTGCAATCTTTTGTATCTATACAACAAGCAAAACTGCTTCTAAAGATGGTGGACCGGATTCATGACAGACACAAAGAGGGCTATCTTTCCTTGACGTGGCCATTGGTGAGATGGGCTCTGCTGTTCAGTGGCTCAGACCCATTCCTCTGGATGTCATTGCTGCTCGTGACATTGCTGAAACGTGCAATCCCATTTTTCTCTTTTTCCATCATGTTTTCTCTTTCTTCATCCACGTCACTCTCTTCTGTTTCACTTCTCATGTCCTTTTCCATCTACAAAAAATGTAAACGAGAAACAGTTCAAATGCAGAAGTGTACAAAAAGCAGTGCTAGCTGAGCCACAGGCTGAAACTGCTCCTTCAGCCACCTGCCTGCAGCATGCATTTCTGCAGTGTGCTTTTAGCTTTAGCTCACCTTTGCAAACAGTTTCATTTCTGTCCCAATTAAATCTTAACTGTGACCCTGATATTCATTATACAAACAGGTTGAAGCAGCCCCAAATCACAGCTGCCCAGGAGTGAGGACAACCGTGTCAGAGTGAAGAGATCCACACTGCTGCTTTGGGCATCACCGTGCATAAGAAGGGAGGGGAAAGGCTGTGCATCAAAATCTTACATTTTCCAAAGGAGACATGAAAATGGGTGCTGCAAGTCCAGCACTCAGAATCACAGGATCACAGCACCGCCTGAGTGGGAAGGGACCCACAGGATCCCTGAGTCCAGCTCTGGCTCCACAGCACCACCAAAACCCAAACCCTGATGGTGTCCCAACGCTCCCTGAACTCCAGCAGCTCAGGGCTGTGGGGCCTTTGGTCTCCAGGGCACGCTGCTGCCTCAGATCCAACTTGCTCTTGACCAGAATCCCCAGGTCCTGCTCTGCAGGCTGCTGTCCGGCCTCTGATCTCCCTATTGTAGCCATGGCCAGGGGCTGCACACCCAGGGGCAGGATTTGGCCCTTGCTCTGGCTGGACTTTATGATGCTGGGAATTGCCCAGCCCTGCCATTTGTCAAGGACTGTGCAAGGTCTCTTCACCCTTGAGGAGGTCAACAGCTTCTCCAATTTCAAGTGCTGTATCTTGTATCCAGTGTGTCCAGTAAAAAGGACAGGCTCTAGAATGGAGTCCTATTGCTGGCTGCCAGCCTGATGTAGCCCCATTTATCATAACTGTGAGCACAACCCATCAGCCAACTTTTTACCTATCACATTATGGTTTGGTCTAGCTGTACGCTAGATATTTTGTCCTGAAGGATACCATCTGAAAGAGTACTGAAAGCTTTGGGGACATCCAAAAAGATCACACTAACTGGCTCCCCTTGGTCAGTGAGGTGGGATCCTTGTTAAGCGCGTTAAACAGGACCTTCCTCTCATGAACCTGTGTTGGCTGTGATCAGTGAGCGCAGGCTGTTTTCTTCCCAGCCACTGAAGTCAATTTGACAGGCCTATAATTAGCATGATCTTTTTTCTCGCCTTTCTTGAAAACTGGGAGAATGTTTGCCAACTTCCAGTTTACTGGGACCTCTCCAGACTCCTAAGACTGTTGAAAAATACTTGAGAAAACTCTTGGAGTACCCTGGGATGAATCCATCAGGCCCTATAGACTGAAGTGCATCCAGCTGGAGCAGCACATCCCACATCACAGAGCTACTCAACTCTGCATTCACATTTATATTCAGGTTTTTTTTTCCCTTGCTATCAAGAGATCCGCAGTCCACTTTTGTAAATATTTATTTCCTTGCCTAAATAAAGTGATAAATAAAGTGATAAAATGACAGATTAGAGAAAGCAACCTAACATTCATTGGCTTCTCAGGCTGCTTTTACTCTGCCATACAAGATGCCAAAATTGGGAACCCATTCACAGTGTCCATGCTCTTTGGTGGGAAGTGAACTGAGAGCTGCAAGCTTCGTAAAGACCGTGTCCATTGATGAACATACTCTATGGCCTCAATTTTCTATGTATGTTCTTCTGGATATATTTCTTGGATCACATTAAGCAGACTGAAGTCTGAAGCCTTTTTTAAAGATCTCCAATCCCCAAAGCAGTTAGGAATAAGAATCTGAACTTGCAGTGAATTCATATTGCCCGGAAGAGCAATAAGAATAGGAGATGCCACATTTTGTGAGCAATCTATGTCATTCTGGAATTGGCAGTTGAGGAGCTATGCACAAAGAGCACTGATCTGCACCATAAGTGCAATTAGTAATCGGTAGTACTCTTCTAAGTGTTTTTTTTTAATTCAGAAATGCAGAATGTGGCTGAGGCCTTACACCTAGCAAGGTCCCCAGAGGAACTAACTAGACAGCTGCATGAACTAAAAAGGTGGTTGCCTTTATGAGGAAGTGAAACCTCTTACGTCAGGATTTGGCTGAACCCTGATTACTGAGGATTAGAGAACACCATACGTAAAGGTGATGCAGATAAACCTGGAGCCATGGAGGAAAATTACAGGGGTCAGCTGGGTGGGCACAAGGGGCTGTGGACAGTGAACTCAAACTGGCCAAAGGGATATTCCATGCTGTATAACATCAGCAATAAAAGCTGGGGTAAAGGAAGAAGAAGGGCATGTGCAGAGTGATGGTGTTTGCTCTCCCAAGAAAGCATTATGCAAGATAAGCCCTGCTTTCCTTGAAGTGGGAAGCAGTGCATGAAGTCCATGGGAAGCAGTGAATGAATTCCTTGTTTTGCTTCGCCTGATCAACTGTCTTTATCTCAACCCAACAGTTCTAATATTTTTCCCTTTCTGATTGTCTCCCATCCCACCGTTGGTGAGTAATGAGTAGCTGTGTGGCATTCAGATGCCTGCCAGGGTTAAGCCACAACACTTACAGATAAAACATGAAAAAATCTGAATGTGCTCCAGCCTTCCTGATAGCTCATTTATTTCTAATAAGACCACTTATTACCTCATCATTTAACACTGTAATAACTGTAGTGGCATTTCACCCCACATGAGAATTAGGAAAACAGCAGAAAGGCCTCTTCAGTCACCTCTTCATTTTCTGCAGCGTGTGAAGTTTCTTGTTTTAATTTGTAAGTAATTTGCTCTGTGCTACCTTAAGGGAAGGCTGATGAGGAAGCTCTGGACAATATGGATGAAGATAAGTTATTCATGCTTGTTCTTAGTTCCCCTAAGACAGAATTCATAGAATCATAGAATCATAGAATCACCAAGGTTGGAAAAGACCTCAAAGCTCATCCAGTCCAACCGTTCACCTTTTACCAACAGCTCCCACTGAATCACGTCCCTCAACACAACATCCAGCCTTTCCTTCAACACCCCCAGGGTCGGTGACTCCACCACCTCCCTGGGCATCCATTCCAGTGCCTGACCACCCTTTCTGAAAAGTAATACTTCCTCATGTCCAGCCTGAATCGCCCCTGCCGTAGCTTGAAACCATTCCCTCTGGTCCTATCACGACATGACACGAGACTCTCTCCTATGACACGAGAGAAGAGGCCGACCCCCAGCTCACTACAGCCTCCTTTCAGGAAGTTATAGAATTCCCCAGTTGGAGGGTAAGAAAACAACTCATCCCAGGGTATGAGGTCAACTCCCACAGAGCACGAACTCGTTTCTCCTAGACTGTGTCCGTGGCAGATGGCCAACCTGATGACTTGAGGTCATGTCTTTGATTCTGAGAAGAATTTCATGCTGAGCAGCAGTTTGGTTTCACAGCAGATGCCACATGCTGTAGTCAGAAAGAATGGGATGCATTTCACTAAAGTTTATGCAGCTGCATCTCAGGCATGGAACACTGCTCTATGACTGATAGAGACAAACAGGCAATACCTAGCTGCGATCTCGAATGGATTATGCTTACTGAGTGCCCCTTTTGCCAGATGGATAGGAGTCTACATATGTAATTACATTAGTACAAGAAAGAATCAATCCCAAATAAACTTGTGTGTTCCCAAGTAGCTTTAGGGCACCCTCCCTTCCCGTGTTATGCACAAGGGACTACAAGCTGATTCCTACCGTGCCCTGGAGCATGAACTTGTAGACCATATGAATAATGAGGCAGGACCAGAAGATGTGAAGCAACTGTAGAGTTATCAGGAGAGCATTCACAAAGTAGTATCCAAAGAAGGGCTGGAATATCTCCATGGAGTAGTAGTAGGTGTTATAGAGCACTCTGCAAGAGAGAAAGAATTGCACTGAAGGGTACTCATGTTCTTAGCAGGGCTGTAAGCCCCCAAAAGCTCCTTGTCATAGAGGAAGTTTCAGGTCAGTCATTTCCTTCTTCCATATAACATGTGAGTTTCCCACTGGAAACAGAGTAGAGCCAAAAGACAAGGACTCTTCTGCAGTATACATCAGGTCTTTACGACTCCTCTATGAACTCCAAAGCAGACCACCCTTGTTTACCCCAAGGCAGGTGCAACAGCCATATGACACTGTAATCTACACAGATATCAGAGACATGAGCTCAAGGATTGAAAAGCAAAGGCTGTAGCAAAAGATTCAGTCCACAGCTGAATTATCCTGCCTCTAAGAAGGCAGTTTTTTATTTTCCTTGACTGCAGCAGACTCACGTGTAGGGGAAAATGACCAGGCGGCTGATGAGGAAGACAGCTGAGAAGATCATAAAGAGGCTGTCACAGGTTTTTTTCCACTTCATGTAATTGAATATCTTAGTTGGCTGGAAGGAGAAAGAACAATAAAACAAAGCAGGCCTAGACACTGCATCTGCACATGCTCCAAGAAGCTAATAAACCAGATATAATACTATCCACATGCAGGTAATCATCTCTCCTCTGTAGGGCACCTTAAGCTAGGTCAGGAGATCAGCAATGAGTTATCAGTGGAATAATGCTTGGCCCTTACTGCATTAGATCAAAAGACAGCATTTGGCTGAGGAGCATGGCTGCCAGCTAGGTTTTACCTGGCAAATAACCTTGGAGCTCACCTCTAGGAAGCAATCAGAAGCATCATGAATCACCATCACCAGTGTCCCAATGCGGATGTAATTGGCACAATATGAGAAACTGATCAGGAAGATGGTTGCAGCATGATGGACTATCTGCTCCTTGAAGTCCTGAAGAAAAAGGGGACAGGAGAAATAAAACACACGGTGTACCTTCTGTCTCAGTTAGAGCATGACTCCTGCAGGAAGCGATAAAATCTCTCAAAAAACCTCTCACTGTAATGTCTCAGAATAATAGAATCATTGAAACCTTGGAGTTGGAAGGGACCTCTGAAGGTCATCTAGTCCATCTCCCCTGCAGTAAACAAGGACATCCACAGCTAGATATCAGGTTGCTCAGTCTTGTCCAGCCTGATTCTGAGCATCTCCAATGACAGACATCTACCACATCCATGGGCAACCTGTGCCAGTGCCTCGTCACCCTCACTGTTAAAGACATTTTCCTTATATCCAATCTGAATCTCCCCTCTTTTAGTTTGAAACCATTTCCCGTTGCTCTACGACCATACACTCTGCTAAAGAATCTGTCCCCTTCTTTCCTGTAGTTTTTCTTTAGATACTGAAAGGCTGCTTCAGATCTCCTCAGAGCCTTTCCTTCTCCAGGCTGCACAGCCCCAGCTCTCAGCATGTCCTCATAGGAGAGGTGCTCTGGCCATGGGATCATTTTTGTGGCCCCCTTCTGGATGCGCTCCAACAGCTCCATGTCTCTCCTGTACTGAATCCTCCCCACCTGGACACAGTGCTCTAGGCAAATCTACAGTACTGAGCAGAAGGGCAGGGGAACCCCCCTCACCCTGCAGACCACACTGCTTTTGATGCAGCCCAGGATACGGTTGGCTTTCTGGGCACATTGCTGGCTCACGCCCAGCTTCCTGTTCACCAGTACCCCCAAGTACTTTTTGGCAGGACTGTGCTCTATCCTTATATCCCCAGCTCGTATTGGCAGTGGGGGTTGCCTTGACCTGGGTACGAGGCCTTGCACTTAACTTTGTTGAACCTCGTGAGGTTCTCCCACACCCACTGCTCAAGTCTGTCTAGGTCCCTCTGGATTGCATCCCATCCCTCTCGTGTGTCTATCGCATCCCATGTGGCAGCTCACACCTTCCCATGCCAGGGTTTGCATTCCCCACCTCCCAGAGGAAAAGGAAGTGAGTGACTGGGAATGGAAACTCCTGGCAATGAGCAAGGCCAGAGTGCCACAGAACATCAGAAAGGCACTGTAGGCGCTACACACTCCTGAACACTCTCCCGAGCTTTAAGCTTACATTCTCTTTACGCTTGACTCTTCCCTGGTGCTGTCACTCACCTTCCTCTTCACATCAAAGGGCAAGGTGAAGACCAGTGAGCAGTAGAAGGAAAGCTCCAGCATGTAGTACCAGAACAGAGAGGGCTGGAGAGGCTGCAACACCAAGGGAGAGACAGTGATATACCCATCAGATAAAGCAGAGAGAGAGATGGAAACCACAGCTCCTCTCTATGCAAAAAAAAAAAAAAAAAAAAAAAAAAAAAAAAAAAAAAAAAAAAAGAAAAAACAACCCACGAGATCACCACCATGAAAAGATCTGGTTCCTGCAGCATCAGGGGGACAAAAATCAACACAACAATCTAGTCACTAAACAAACATCAGCTGTGCTGAGGTAGAAACAAACAGCAGGGGACACTCTACTTTGCATTACCATGAGGAATATTGGGGAACTGGGGGAAGTTGCAGAAAGTCTTTGCTCTCTTCAGCACTGTGTGAATTCCTGAGCTGTCACTGCAGACCTTAGCAAACTCTATTTACTGTTTCACTGCAGTGGAGCAGATTAGGACTTGAATAAATCATTCCCTTTGACAGCGTTCAGGGAGACGCTTCAGATTTCTTGGACTCTGTCACAGGTTTTTCAGTCTAATCAAATTATTGGGCAAAGGTACAGTGCTCCTATGTGTGAACAGGAGATCATACAGCATGAACTCATCTACATTCTTCTGAGTAATTTTTTCTGGGGTTTTACACGTGGAAGACTAAAAGCTCCAACGCAATTAGCAAGGTGTGTGCAAATTAAGCAGTAATTTTTCTGTTGGGAGCTCTGGATCAGAAGGCATTCATTTTGGGAGAAGAGATTTGGGAGAACAGATGCTTCTTTTGCCCTTGTCTGTACCACAGAGCATGGTTTGTTTAACAGAAATTATATTTAGAATATTCTTTGCTCCTGTTAGGACACAGGTATGTTCTTGACCCTTCCTACTCTTTTCCAGTGGAATGTTACCAGATCTGGTTTTGGTCTTTTCTATTTATTACAGCTGTTAGAAAGAGTTTTGTTATGAGGGTTTAAATTTTTCTGGAAAATACATGTACTGCAAATGTACAGAAGAGAAAATGAGGATCCGTAGAGTCCTATTCATACACCATCTGTTTGCACAAATTCACCCTTAAAATTTCTGCCTTTGGGTGACTAAAGATATTTGGAGGCTTGGTCTGAAAGATAGTACCTCACTCCTCACTCATATGCCCCATCATTGCTTCTGTGCTTAAACCTATGCACTGTATTTCCCTTTACAGGTTAGCAAATCTCAATGGACATTCAATTGCTCTAACTCTGACTGCCAGACCAAGCAGCCCTGCAGCACAAGCAGGGCTTGTCTCACTTTGTCTTGCTGCTGGAATCAAATTGTACTTCAACCTTTCCTTCAATTAATGAAGAACTTTTTTCTCACCCAGGATGTTCTTGCATTGTAAAACCCTATGCATGGGAGCTCCCTGCACGATACCAGTGGAAATTATTATCCTGCCAGAAACACTTCGTAGCCTTTGGATTGCAGTGAGCAAATGCTGAAGGGAATCAAAGTCTACCAAGTCAATAGCAGCCTTTTTGCCTCCTTCACTGAGCTCTGAATTGCACTGTCAGAACTCTGAGCATACCAGCAGACTCTGCAAAGGATTCCTCTGAGGGGGTTTAGCTGCCTGTGGTCAAGATCAGTTTCTCAGAGGGCCCATCTGTTTCACCTCAAATCACAAGAGCTGTGAATGAGCTGTGTGAGAAAGAGCAGTCAGTACCTCATTGAGGCCCTCCTCTCTCGGCTCAGGAGCTGTGTTTCAATTCCAGACTTTGTGTCAGTTCTTGCTTGAACTATGTTATAGGTACATTGTGTGTGCTGATGTACTTTACTCTCCTGGATCCACACACTCCATTTTAGACTTATCCTCTACCTGCAGACTTGCCTGGTGACCTGAGCACTCAGCTGATCCCATCTGTATCCGCTCTTGTGCTTTTCCTCTTGACACCGACTGCTGCTGTCAACCTTTTCTCCCAGTTGGTTTCCCTTGTAGGGCAACACACTCCTTTGGTATCTGACATAAAAGGCAGATTTCATCTGCTCAGGAAGAAGTAACTTAACTAAAGATACTGAACTATTTTTCACAGAATCACAGAATGGCTGAGGTTGGCCCATCTGGAGGCCACCTGGACCAACCCCTGCTCAAGCAGGGCCACCCAGAGCAGAGCAGCACTGCATTCAGTTAATTAGAGCCTTCTGGGCAGAGGGTTAGAATCATAGAATCATATGTGGGGGTTCCAGCACTCAGTCACTTACACAGTGGAAAGTGCTCCCTTTTCCTTTTGCTCTTCTTAGCTCTGACATGAGTTCAGACTCCTCTAGTTTTGCCACAATACTCTGAAAATATTTCCCAGATGAAGCCTGTGGGATTCGTTTAGTTTGCAAAGGCTTTGTCAGCTCTGTGACGACCAACGATTCTTGCCTTTCACTGACAAGGACACAGTCCTGCAGCACACCAAAAATGGTTCACTCTTGAAGAAGGAATGAAATGATACCCAGGTGTCTCACTAATTGATTCATAATGCTAATCAAGCCTGTATTTAAGAAGGCTGCTGCTATATAACAGTCATAAAAACATAAAGAAAAAAGGTGGAACAGTCAGTGGTTTGTGCACTCAGTGGGTGAAGCCCCATCCTAACTTGTCAACTTCTGAAGTATGAATAGCTGGGGAGGCAGATGGGCAAGAATATATTCGATTTTGTGATCCTTTAGCTGATAGGAGATGCTGGAGATCTCCAGCCCTCTGGACAGCTTCTCACAGTGCTGTTGTGGGAAAAAACAAACAAACACAGAATATACATTGGAGAACTGTAAAATAACATCCTACAAAATTAAAGGAAATGATGCTGTGTTGCTACTGGCCATAGTGCCAGTTCCTCTGGGAAACAAGCTCATGGGGAGCACTGTGGACATGATTCTTTGGTGTAGTGGAAGGATTACACCTCTCAGAGCATGTCCTCTGCTCTGTATGCTCTCCAATTTTCACTCCTAGATGACTTACCTGTTGCGGGTAACCTGTCCAGCACTCTCTATGGTCCCAAAGCCAAGGCTTCTGGAAAGAAAATGCAACATGAATGACAGGAAGCCAGAGAAAGTCTTTTCTTATAAGCTACCTAAATCTCTTACTTGTTGGCTATCACAGATTTGCTTCATGTTATTACAAAAAGAGCTGGTAAGCTGTTAAGTATTGTTAAGTATTGCAGGCCACACACCCCTGCCAGGAACATGTTTTTCCTTCAAATGGCAAGGATCATGCTGCAGGCTGCTAAGTAACGAACCTCTGAAAAGATACTGCTTTGTTTACACTTCAAAGAAAACTGAAGTTTAAAGCTTGTAGTTTGACAGGGCTTTACACTAGGTTTGAAGGGAGAAAGGGGTGACAGCAAGCCTGCCCATGACAAGGTGTGGGATGGCATAGCTCAGTTAGCAGGACAAGGTGCTAGCGGAGGCCCTTAACCTGCTGCATCTTATGATGATGAAGGCAAGAAGGAGACTCAGAGTAAAAAATTCAAAGGAATTAAGGAGCTGTTCTCCAAGGTGACAACACCAACTGCCCAGCTAAACTGCCTCTATACCAATGCATGCAGCTTGGGAAACAAAACAGGAGAAGTTGGAAGCCACCATGCCACTGGAAAATCATGATGTAGTTGTTGTCATTGAAACCAGAGGGATAATTCCTACTAGTGGAATGTGGCTACTGACAGCTACAAGCTGTTCAGAAGGGACAGGTGAGGAAGGAGGGTAGGACACATTGCTCCCTACATATAGGAAGGAATAGAGTGTGAAGAGCTGTCTCTGAAGAATGACCACAAGCAAGTCAATAGCCTTTGGGTGAGAGTTACAGACTGAGGCAACAAAGGGAGCCTTGTGGCTGGCATCTACTACAGGCTGCCTGAGCAAGTGGAGCCTGTTGATGAAGCCTTCTTCCTCCAGCTACAGGAGACTGCAGACTCTCATCCTGCTGGGGGACCTCAACCACCTGGACATCTGCGGGAAAAGTAGCAGTGAGCTGTAGGCAATCCAGGAGGCTCCTGGAATGCATCAAGGACAACTTCCTGAGCCACATAACAGACAGCTCTATCAGGAGGGATGCAATGCTGGACCTACTGTTCACTAACTGGAGTGAACTGATTGGTAACATCAGAATTGGAGGCTGCTTGGGCTGCAGTGACCATGTAACAGTGGAGCTCACAGTCTTGATTGATATTGGACAAAGAATAAAATCAGGAAACTTAATTTTAGGAATGCCACATTCTAGCTCTTCATGGAGTTAGTCAACAAACCCCTTCAGAATCAGCTCTTGAGGACAAGGAAGTGGAGCAGAGCTGGCAGATCTTTAGGGAAGCCTTACTTAGGGCACAAGAGCATCCCCAGGTGTAGGATGTCAGGAAAGGAATGTGAGAGACCAGCATGGCTGAGCTGGGACCTGCCGGTCACACTGAAGAGCAAGAAGAAAATGCACAGGCAGTGGAAACAGGGACAGGTAATCTGTGAGGAGTATAGGGACGTTGCTGGGCTGTGAGGGGATGGGGTCAGGAAGGCCCAACTGGAACAGGACTTAGCAATGCAACAGAAGAACAAGAAAGGCTCCTATAGGTACATCTACCAGAAAAGAAAAGCCCAGGAGGGCATAGCCCCCTAGAGAGCAACACAGGCAGGCTGCTTACAACAGACAAGGAGAAACTGGGGTATTCAACAGCTCTTTTGCCTCATCTTTACTGGTGACTGTTCTACACACAGCTCTTAAGCGGATGATTTGGAAGGTGGGAACTGAGGGGAATTGCCCCTCCCACTGTATGTGTCGTTGAGGATCACAACCTGAGGAACCTGAACATCCATTAGAATGCAGAAGAGAAGGAAGAAGTACTGCAAATCAGAGGCAGTGGTAAGTAGGAGTAGATACAGCCTCCTTCTGGGTGGAAGGTGGGATTCACAGCAAATACAGGTAAGGAACCAGAGATGTGTGATGCAGTATCAGAGACGTTGAAGTAAACACCCTGAAACAACTGGGACCCAGAAAGGAATCTCACATCTCTGCAGCCTATCATTCCTATACCAACAGCAAATAAATCTCTTTTCTGGTAATCTGTGAGATAAAGTTATACTGTTACTTGCTGATATACTAACTCTAATACACTAACTCATGTGGCAGAGGGTCGTGCAGCCAGCTGAAAGCTAATAGTATAGAATTTAAGCTTCAAATTTTCTTGTTTTTCTTTTTGTAGACAAACAAGAAAGTTTCACAGAAGTTTTGTGTGTGTGTGTGTGTGTAAGATATCTAATGAATGAAGAAAAGATTTTCAGGAAAAGTGCAGGTGGTCTCATTCCTAGAATGGGCAGGTGACGTGCAGAACAAGATTTTGTTCCTTCTGTCACAACAGGGATCTTGAGCTATGCTGAGCAGGTCGTTCATTCCAAGCTTTCACAGCTGGCTTCACAGAACAGCCTTCTATTTTGATGTAAAGAACTACAAAACAGTATAGGTTTAGATACCTTCATTCCTGTGTTAGCTCATCCTACCTCATACTCATCAGGTACCTTGCATTCTGCCTTGAAAGTTTCTGAGTTTCACAGTTCTTCAGTTATTATAATAAGCAGCTTCAGCACAGTCTGTACCCATGTCTTAGGATCTGCAGATTTCTCCACTCCAGAAGGTCTCAGGGGAGAACACTTTTACAAAGCTCACCGAGGAAACTGGGTTGAGCACAAGGGCCAGGGGAAACTTTATCCCACACTCAAAGGAGGAAGGTGCCCCTCGTCCCAGCACAGTGACCACACTCAGGATGAGAGTGTGTGGCATGATTTCCACTACCTCCTCTGCCTCAGTGATTCAACCCATAACATTTAAGTCCCAGCCTTCTCTTGTTGAAGCTAGTCTATCTGTATAAAGAGGAATCACTATTTATCAGATCAGAGAAAAGGCAGACACATGAACTTCACCTCACCTCTTGGCTAAGGAAAACACATACATAAAATTTTTGAACTGCAGCCCACCCTCCAAAAGAAATAAGAGTACGAACCCAGTACTGGACACAACACACAAACAAGCCATGCAGCTTCTGTCCCAGATAAATGTTCCATCTCTCACACCATACACTGTCTCACAATTGTAATGATCTACTGCTGTGTCAGAGGAAGATGAAATCTCCTGGTTTTGCCTTAGAGCTCTTAAGGTACGCACGATTCCTTGTTCTTGTGAGCTCAACAGTGTGCTGTGCAGAGGACATATCTGATGGGAAAATCTCTATAAGGTTTGAAAGCAAAGGTTTGGCACCAAAAACTGCCATTCTTGAGGCACTTCCCAGATAGGACAGAAGGTGGCACTGCTTCTATACTCACATCATACAGTACAGCCAGCCCAGTGAAGAAAGAAATGATGTAAAACGCAAACCTCCAGCTACAAAGAAAGAAAGAAGGATGTCAGTAACCCATTAACCACGAAGGTACAATTCTGTGTATTAATCCCACTCACAAATGATGCCATTAAAGCAAGCAAAAACATCAAAATGTTCAAGGTTTGCCCAGATCCTAACAGATTCTGTATATTGTTAGCACATTCAACAGGCGCCACAAAGGCTGTTGAAATCACCCAGATAATGATCTAGGTGATTATCATTTTCCAGATAATCATTTTCTGGATGATTACCTGGAAATAGCCCAGATAATCATACCAACCCTTCCCAGCCCAATCAGATGCATGTGTAAAATTCCAACAGTGCCAATCTCCTCCTTAGGCTTTTGAAGATTAGGTATGCTAAGTTCATTGTCATGTAAAGCAAATGAACTGTTGTCATGTTTGGTCTCAGTGAGAGTTGCTAATGAGTTAGCCACATTAAACCCACAGAGATGTACATATAAAATACGTATAAAATAGAAGTTCAGTGGAAAGTGATGTGTCATGGTGCATATTTACACATACAGTAAGGAATGAGGGAAATTTTATCCCAGCAGAACAAACAAGCAGCTAACAGACTAAACACAGAAAATCTGCAAACGGGTAAAACTGCCTATAACAGCTCTTAAATTACCAAGCATCTCTGTAACAAATTGGAAGCAGCTTTATGTTTTGAAAGACTCCATTCGTCCATGAAACACTCAGGACTCCAAGAAAGACATAAGCTACTATTTCATGTTGGAAGGGCATTCTTTGTGTAGATTGCAAACAGCAACAGAGGGCAGGCAGAAAGACATTATAGTCAGTGGGCTCAGTTAGAAACCTATTTACTGTTTAGTGTTCACTGCTACTATTTACTGCAAGGCAGCTGAGTGCAGGGAGAGCTTGGATTTCATCTTGATAGAAGCAGATTAAGCATGTTTGTTTTACAACTCTTTGTCCACAGTGCAGTAAATCTTTCTAACTGTAATGATCAGGAATGCTGTAAATAAATAATATGCACCCTTTTTGTTTTGTTTTCTCCATTAGGGGGTTAGATAGGAGTTCTGAATTAGAGTCTGAATAGTAAATGGATTGTCATCAGCTCAGAGGTGATGCCTACCCTACAGATACACTTTTAGTTAGACGAATGTCACTGTAGGTATTTATTTTCTCCTTCATCTCTGTGGCCTTCCTGTAAGAACCTCGTTCTCCACAAGTGAAGCAGATCAAGCACTCAGCAGTTTGACATTTCACCCAAGCTCAGGAGAGTTCTCCTCCTTTGTGGAAAGCTGAGCCAAAGCTAACATTTCTAAGAGGGCTAATTTCTAAAGTTTTACCAAAACATTCTTGGCATTCCTCTACCCACAATTCTGTATTCTGGGTTCACTTCTTCTCCCACCAAACCCAACATACAGGAACTTTATATAGTTTATTATAGCTTATATTATAGTTATATAGTTCCAATTATATATAGTATAACTTTATATAATTGGTAGAACCAATTGCTGAGTGATGGTCTACCACGTACTATTACAGAGCATAACCTCTCAGATCTTAACATCTGTAACAACCTTAGGTTGAGATTTTCATAGCCTTTGCACAAGCATGAGGATCAAGTGGGGTCCTGAGACGGAATCACAAAGACACAGACTGGGGAATAGCTGGGGCATGCTCACGGGGGTATGGGCATCAGCGTAGAACAGTTTCCTAAAGGGCTTTACAGTCTGATTTTTTGCTGTAAAATGGCCTTGATGATAATTCATCTAGATTCTGGCAAGGAGGAAATCCCAGCCTAGAAAGTCTGTCTAAGCATGGGGACAAGGATGGACAGTCATGGAGCCCCAAGAGTTGCACAGCTTCTGACCTCAGCTGTGCAACAGGCTGCCCCCAGCCAGCTCACCAGCACCTCCAAGGGCAGCAGTGAACATGCAAGCATGCAGCCACCACAAGTCTGTTGGGACTATTGCTGTGCTACCACTTCAATCTGCATTAGTTGAAGTAACTAAAAAGTGAGAAGTCCAATTATAGTCCTCCTTTGCCAGACCTGCTTGTGTCTCCCACGAAAATCTTTTGTACAAGCTCTCTTTCCTGACATTATAAAAGGATTGTACTTTCTGGCTTTCAGGGAAGTTGAGAGTCAGCTGCCAACAAAATGCAGTCTAGCCCAGTGTCTGTGACTCTTGAAAGTAGCACTGTGGAAAATAGCTGCAGAAAAGATGCAGCAGAATCATGATAGAATCATAGAATGGCCTGGGCTGAAAAGGACCACAATGATCATCTAGTTTCAACCCCCCTGCTATGTGCAAGGTCACCAACCACCAGACTGGGCTACCACCAGGGCCACATCCAGCCTGAGCTTGAATGTCTCCAGGGATGGGGCATCCACAACCTCCTTGGACAACCTGTTCCAGTGTGTTACCATGCTCTGCATGAAAAAGTTCATCCTAATATCCAACCTAAACCTCTCCTGTCTCAGTTTAAAACCATTCCTCCTTCTCCTATCACTATCCACCCTCGTAAACAGCTGTTCCCCCTCCTGTTTATACGCTCTTTTCAAGTATTGGAAGGCTGCAATGAGCTCTCCCCTGAGCCTTCTCCATTTATCAGCTTGCAGTGAAGCAAATGGGAGAGAAACAGAGAGGCAATGGTAGGCTGCTCTGGCATCATAGAAGCAGTAGCAAAGCAGCAGGAAGCAATACGAAGCAAAACAATATTGAATTTCTCAGATATTATGTTTCAAAGCAGAGTGTCAGTCTTGCGAAGTCAAAAACAGGCATCCTAAAAAGCATAAAGTGAGATAGGAGTAAAAGGAATCTTGGGGATGAAAATAAAGGGGAGAAACAAGGAACAATTCAGGAACTGGTAAGCAGCAGCAGAGCCACAAAAGAATCAAGTGGGGCAGAGAAGGTTCAGGAAGCTCTCTATGGATGAGTGCAGGCAGGCTGGAGGCAGCAAGATGCTTGCCAAGCTCAGAGCCAGCAAGAGGCCCTGCAGCTCACAGCTTGTGCTCCTGCTCACCAGGCCTCACAGAACTTCTTCGACAGGCTCGGTCGGTCGGTGTTCCTCCGGCGCCGGAACCACCTCTCCACCTTTCTCACTGGCAGGTCACATTGTTTGGCTAAACTGATCAGCTCACCCTGGAAAACAGGTGAGGAGGTGGGATTCAGATTCAGGTTTGAGGGTCAGAAGGCTCCAGGGCTGTCTGGTCTGGGCCATCACAGAACACCGCTGAAGTTCCGGGCAAGCCCAGGTGTGTTCAAGCTAAGGCATCTTTCAGCAAGCTGTCCATTCCTAGCATAGAGATTTCAGGTAACAGAAAATCTTTCACTTCTGCTTGCAAGCAAATGGTTATTAATGCTAAATGTTAAAACCTTACATTTTAATTTTTATGACAAAGTCTCAGGTTTAGAGTTTCAAACCGTGGTCTCTTCTCACAGGTGTTTCTTCTTGAATTATTTCATTTGTCTTTAGTGTCCAAGTCCCTTAAATCTGTCACTCCAATAAGGTTTTACTGAAGCTTAAATAACTTCTAAAGTTCTACACTGGATCTTGTCAAGTCTTTCAGCATTCCCATCCAGTATCAGAGAACAACATGACCAGTGTAATGAGCAACATCATTTTCCTACCAGTTATTCTCCTTTTGTGGTAAATTCAATGGATTACTCACAGAAATACTGCAATTACCTTCCTTCTTGCCCTTGGGCTCCTAAAGAGTTTGCTGCGCGACACAGAAGTTGTTCATCATTTTCTATATTCCTTCTGAAAGCGTCATCAAGGATAGCTTAGTAAAGCAATAGGCTTTCAATGAATGCACTCACCTTAAAGGTCTCACATACAGTGCTTTACATACCCTGAGAGTGCTGTAAAGATCTGTGTCCACTACCATTGTCAAATATATTTCTTTCTACTTTTACCTAATGCTCTTGGGGTGGAGTCACACAGATGACTGTGATTTCAATTCTCCAATTGCTCCATGAAGTGATATCCCTCTCAAGGTGAGGGCTGCTGAGAACAGCAAAATTACATCTTATAAAAGCTGCCACATAAGCAGGATTCTGAGAGCTCACAGGAGGGGAAGGAAGCCAAAAGACTGGCTGAGATGCAAGTGGTGAATGAGAGTAGGGCATTGGCCGGTTGCAGAGTTTTGCTCTGTGACACACTGATATCAGAAGTCTCACAGCCAGATACACTCTGATATCCCAGATTTTCTAGGACAGAAGTGCAGATTTCTGCTCCTTCAGTGCACTGGGGTGCAGTAACAGCTGTATAGAAAGTCTGCCTGCAGAGACAGGCCTTGAGTTAGATCTCTGCAACAGGAGTAGCTCTACTGAGAAATGTGCAAATTTCTCAGACAGGCACAGAGAAGGTCGGAGACCATGGCAAGTGATCCTGAGAACATTCCTTCCCATTGCTAGGGAAAGAGGCTGGCTGCACAATCCAGATGAATGCCTGCATTCTTACTTTAGCCTCTATTATTTTACCTTCAAGCTGCTGCTGAATGTCCTGGGGCTCCATATGCCCCACTGCCATATGAAACATGCTGAAACAGCCATGACAAGGCATTAACTTGTTTGCACTAGGACTGTCCAGTGGGACTGGAATCCCTACTCCTTGGTAGTGGCTATTAGCTTTTGCTTCAAGGCCAAGACAGCCTGCAAAAAGGAGATGAAAGGTAATGTTGCAATTGGGCTTACACAGCAAGGTTTTGTTAGCAGAGGTGGCCTCTGTGAGCATAGCCCAGCAGCTGCCCCTCGTCGGATTAGATCCAGATCCAGCTGCTCCAAAAGGGACCTGCTACTGCCAGAGCTCAGCTGTGAGCGATGCTTGTTACACACACTGAAGAAAGGGAAAAACTGCTGTTACTGAAAGAGAGGGAAGAGGAACAGAGAGATGAGCAGCTCTGCAGCCACCGAAGTAGGCACAGAAGGAGAGCAGGAGGAGCTCCAGAAGCAGAGTAGAAGATCCCTGAAGCCCAGGAGAGGTCATGGTGGATCACATTATCCCCCTTCAGCCCACAGGCACTGCGTGGAGCAGATCTCCACACACAGCCATGGAGGAGCCCACAGTGCAGCAGCAGATGTGGACTGGAGGAGACTGCAGCCCACAGAACCCAGCAGGAGCAGCTCTGGGCCGGAGCTGCCATCGGTGGTGATCAGTTTGAGGGAGGCTGGACAAGCTGCCACTCATGGGGCCCCATGTTGGAGCAGTGCTTGGAAAGCTGCAGCCTGTGGAAGGCCATGCAGGGTCAGTTCAAGAAGGATGGCATTCATGGGAGGGGCAAACATGGAGCAGGGGCAGATAGTGACCAAGGTGGAGCAGTAGAGATAGAGCATCGTGGACCGACCACAGTTCCATTCCCTGTCTCTCTGTGCTGCTTGGGGGGAGCAGGTAGAGGAGTGTTTGAGTAAAGGTATTTTAGTTGGCTTTTGGTTCTCTCTGCTCGGTGCCGTTACTAATAGGCAATGAATTATATTAATCTCTCTATGCTGACTCTGTTTTGCTTGTGATTGTAATTAGTGAGCACTCTCTCTGTTCTCATCTCAACCCTTGAGTCCTTTTCTCTCTCATTTTCTCCTCTCATTCTTCTGATGAGAGAGAGTGAGATAGTGGTGTGGGGAGCTTTTGCTAGCCATCAATTTGATATTTGAACTCACCACAGTAATTCCCTTACATACAACACAGAGTTACATCCAGGGACTTAACTGACAAGGTTAAATCCCAATACAGAATATCTGCAGTTCTGCCACTGCTTTTTTTCCTCAGCCACAGCCATTATAATTCCAAATTATCCTGCCAAGATCACCCTTTTTCTCTCTCATGGGAAAGCTATCTACTACTTGTGCCTGCCGTATTCTGATGGTCCTTATTGTGTCTCTGATGAGAGAGAAGATTTTAATTGGATTCCTGAAAGATCAATCAAAAAAACTGTGGATTGTATAGCAACAGAACAATTTGCCTTCCAGAACTAAAAGAATCATGCAATCCACATGTGCTAAGCTGCAAGGGAAAGTCAGTTCAAGTGAGCTGATATGACAGCAATTTGCTAATACACGAAGAAAAGCCATGTACAAGGCAAACAAGAGCAAACAGGTGTTTGGAGAGAAGTCTCCTGTCCAAACAAGTCTGAGATTCAATTCCTTTGAGTGCTGTCCCTGGAAAGCTGTTATTCTCACATGTTCAGAAGCAGAACTGATGACTTACAGCATCTGCAGGATGATCTTTGCGGCACACTGGTGTCAGGAGGCCAATGCTACAGTGTTTCCTTATGGTCTGCTGAATGTTCAAATGCAAGATTCCGAATGTGATTTCATTTAGGCAAATAGACAGCGGTTAAATCTAGAGGAAAGCAAAGGAAAAAAGGACTCACCTCTTTAGGGTTCCTACAATTCACAGTGTAGAATGTTTCCAGAATGGAGATGGGCTGAGCTTTAGGTCTCAACTTGTCCTTCACACCTAGTTTGGCACTGAGAGGCAGGGCTATGGCTCTGCAAAAGAAAAGATAAAAGTTCAGCCCAGAACAGAACAGTGATTTCTAATGCTGTAACACTGTAAAACATTGCGTGTACGTAACGGTTTCCTCCTACAGTTGCCTCCTACAATTCCGAGTCACAGTACAAGTATCACATCAATCAGGTGAGGAAGACAAGTACAAAACCTTGCAGCAGAAACAGCAAGACTTGTATTCTGCAGGTCTGAGTTCTGTTCAACATTGAATGAGTTTGGAAATGCTACGTCCTGCTTTGTCAGTGCTTGCAGAGACAGCTGTGATCCCTGCCGTTGCTTTTTGGCTTACCTGAAGCTTATGCAGAGTGCCACACTGATGGTAAGGCCTAAATCTAGGTGACATTGGGGTCCGACAGAGACATCTGTGTCCCATCCCACGTTTACATCTGGGCGATAGTGGGGGCCCCTCAGTCCCATCCCATGTGGACATCTGTGTGACACTGAGGACATCTGAGTCCCATCCCAGGTGGACATCTGGGTGACCCTGTGGACAAAGGGGCCCCATAAGGACACAAGGGTGACAAACTGGGGTCATCTAGGTGACCTTGGGGACATCATGGCCCATCCCATGAGGACGGACATCTGAGTAACACTGGGAACATTTGGGTGACATTCAGGACATCTCTGGTCCCCTCCCACACAGACATGTGGCCTAATCGAGGTGCTCCTGCTCCGGCAGGGGGATTGGACTAGATGATCTTTGGAAGTCCCTTCCAATTTCTGATATTCTGTGATTTTGTGATTCTGTGAAATGCTGTTCAGTTTTTATGTGGTCATACAAGGGCACTCACTTGAACTAAGGACTTGGCTCAGGATCAAAAGAGAGACTCTGAGACATGCAGAATTAATGGAAAAAGACTTCCTGATGAAACAGGAGGCCGCTTGGTCTTCATTGGAAAAATGTTCCTCAGTTTTTCCTATGGCAAGTCAAACTGAGAAAATAAAGGGCACAGCAACGTCATATTTAACCACAAGGACTTGTGCTACCTGTGCACCTTCACTCTTTCAAAGTGAAACAATGCAAAGAAAAACATCTGTATAACAAGGAATAAGTACCAAGAGATGACAAAACTTCCTGTGCTCAACAACTCAACTTCTGCACTACAACCCTTCTTCTATTCCTTGGCACAAAGTAATAATGTAGTGTGAAGCATCTAAGTATTCCCTGACCTGATCCTCTTCCACCAAGGGTATATGTTCCTGTTTCTAAACATGAAATGTGCAAAATGTCTGGGAAACCTTATTTCTGCATTTTGGAGATCTTTTATTTTGCTCAGAGTGCTTAAAGCTTACTTGAATGGTCACTGAGTTATCAACTGTAAATCAGTGCTGACAGTGGTTGTGAGCTGATGAATATGCAGCAAGTACTGAGACGCAGGCCTGCCCTGCCTGGCCAGACTTAATTCTGTTCAGGCAGCTCCTCTGGTAAGTTATCCCAAACGATTCAGATATCAAACAAGAATTCTTCTTTTCCACAGCAGCAAACAAACTGTGGAACATTCGCTATGCAGGTATTTTAAAAGTGTTTTACTTAACAACAGTATATGATTTGCTGGTTGCCTGTGGTTACCTCTTCTAGCTACACAGACTATACTCCACATGTTCATGTGCTCAGGGACTATTATAGATCAAAAATCCTATCAGGGGGTTCTTCTGGAAGTTTAATTTTCAAAAACCTGTATCATCAATTAATAAACAGGTATCAGAAGCAATTTTCTGAAGAACCCAACTACACACAGAATTTTGCAGCTTGTATTACATCAAACCATAAAACACAAAATGGTTTGCACATTTGGCTTCTTTGTGCAGCAGTTGATTTCAAACATTCTTTGCATGGCCAGCTCCGAATGGCCAGCTGTTGTTTTTTACCTTCTCTTTAGCTTTCCAAGAAGGTTGATTCAAGCTCCTCTGAAAATGAAGATGTAATCAGTTTCTGTTGTTTAAGAAGAACCTTACTGCAGTTTCCTATAGGCTGGAAACAGAATGGTCTGAAATTTTTCCGACAGATTAAAGGGAAAGAGAATGTTTCTGCTGGGTGCCAGGGCAGCCAACAAGTTTGAAAAGCTATTTAAATTATCCTTAATTTTGGTTAATGCTTATTTTCTCTTTCTTAATGTTTTGCCACAGTATAAAATCTCACTGTAACAAAAACAAGCCAGTTGCAGCTGAAGAAGACAGGGTGTGAGTAACCGAAGTTCCAATTACTTTGTTGTTGAGGTACTGAATTTAACCATCAATTATAGGACCAATCCTAGTTTTATGGACATTATTGGGAAATCAAGCCGTGAAATTCCTCCAAAGGGATGTTTGTACATGTTGAATGCGTGCTCTGACTCACTTCTAAGTTTAATCTTGTTCCAAGCACAGCCCTAAGAGAATGGTGCTTGTACTGATTTCAACATCACAGGTCCATGGTATCAATTGCCAGGGATTGTCTCATCAATGGAATCTTCACAGCTTGCTAAAACATGGAAGAAGAGAGCCTGAAGACCATATTGGACAGTTTCCATAGCTACGTAAGGCAAGCCACAGTCAGTGATATGATTCAACTCAAACCTGTTTCCTCTTCTCAGGTTGAGGTGAAAATAGTTTCTCCAAAGTTTACAAAAGAAAGTTCACACTAAGGCATTTTATTCAGTAACCACCAATGAGCAAACTGTCTTGTGCAAAACCTGCTGACACTGAAACTAAATGGATCAATAATGAAGGGCATAAATCCATAATCCCTCACCTGCAGAGGCTTCCACAGCTAGTATGAAACAAAATAATTTAGCTTTTGTGAGTTTATTTTCCACAAATGTTACAGAATTTCTAAGGTTCTAAGGGTTAAGAATTTCTACAGGATAATTTCAAACAACTCTGCCAGTATCTTCCAGCACCAACAGCCAGTGACTGCTGCAACTTCTACCCTTGGAATTGCACAGTTCCTTGAAGCCTCATACACTGCGTGGGCTCTCTGTGCTCTTGACATCTCTTCTACGTGGTTCCAGGAGAATTCTACCAGAAGCTATCATCACAGCTATGTTGTACAGAACAGCCAGTTAACACTTCTGCACCAAAAAAAAAACAACCAACCCAGAGCACCTAAGAGGAAGATGCTCTCAGGTACGTTTCAATTTCTGATTAATAACAAAAATCTTTGTGGAAAATGAACTGCAGATAAACGCATTTTCAAATAAGCTGCTTGAAAAGGGTTTTCTCTTCCATCTTTTTTTCCTGGTTCTGAGTTCATATATTCTCTGCAGATGAACAATATTTCTTTCTTATAACGCACAAAGCATGAGTAATAAACTGCCACAACCCTCCTAAAGAAGAGACATAACCATTCTGACTGAACCAGGAGTCTGTTTAAAGAGCCATTAAAAACAGTCCGGATTTAAGACATTTTCTAATGCTCTTTTATCTCCCATCAATAACTTCTTGCCATCTTGACCCCTCCACATCTTCCACACAGCTATTGCCACGGAAATTTCTGCATTAGCTACATTTGAAAAAGTGAGATAAAATTTATGATTTTTCTTGTTAATAATCCTGATTTACTGCTCTTCTCCCATGAGAAATGCACCAGTTCACATTAACAGGCACTTCCTCTTTTATAGACATAGAAATTATTCAAAATTTGCTAACTTGGGAGAAGTTATACTCAGTGGGCTGCAGTTGTTCACCTTTCATTGGCAATATGCTCAGTTACTTCTGAATTAACAGGCTTACATGGAGAAATAGCTATCTCAACAGCGTAACAGCCAGCCTCCTCCAGCCCCATAGACCTGAGGAATGCCAGAGGCAGGCAGGTAGAGGAAGGAACTGGAGCTAAACTAAAATAAAGCTATTTTTCTCCCATTCTTCCCTGCACTCGGGGAGTCTGAAGGAAGGTAAATCAATGAATTAGGAGGTAACAGGTATGCTCGTGGTGAAGACTTTCTCCAGAATGTGGGGCACTTTGGTGTAGTTCTATCCTCTGACTCAGAAGATACAAGACAGTAACAGCCAGCGGATCAAGGAGGGTGTCTGGAACATCTGCCCCAAGTCCTTCTGGTTTATACCATTCCATTTGGAGGAAAATGCTCAAATATTGATTGAATTTCCAGGTAAATTCTGTCTACCGTACTAAACAAGTGTATGTTAATTTCATTAAAATAATAAATTTTGTAAAGTCTTACAATGACAGCTAAGTAATATAAATACATATATGGATAGGAATCAGAGTTACACTGTTGTTTTTGCGCACTTGTTAAGAACATGTTCCATTTGTGAGTAAGACTGTGTTTAAAATTTCTTCATTTACTCCCTAGCATTTGATCCTCTGTAAATTAACATGTTGGTCCTAAGCCTTCATATAAAATTTAGACCAATAAAATTTGTCCTAAATGGCTAAAGAGCTTGCAAAGCTTGTTCTTCTTCCACTATTGCACAAGAGGACAGAGGGGTATTTTTTTGCTTTATCGTGTGCATCAGCAGGGAAGCTCCCTTCGTCAAAGGCCAACTAGACGCCAAATCCTCCTCCCACCCCTTCTTCATCTTGAGAAGAAGGAATGTTACAAGGGCTCAGGAAGTGAACTATTCCAGTTCTCCCTGCAACACAATGGCTGAAGTCAATGTCAAGTCACAAACTCGGAGCAGTTTATTGTGCCTTCTGTTCTTGGAAGCTGCCACTAATTCATTGCTCCATGTAGTTACCAAAGACACACAGAAATCAGCAGATTTATGGATCTTGGCACCTGAAGGAAGCATTAGGCTGTGTGAAGCAAGGAGAACAGTTGTAGTCATTCACATTAATGATCTGTTCTTAAATTGTCTGCATGCAGTTTGACTTTCAAATAGAGCAGGTCCCATGCTGAGACAGTAATTCTTGCATTATAACTGCAACTTCTGACTGAGATAATCTCTCAGGATTCCCAAGCTAGACACCTTCTTGAGGCTGTGTCTCCCTTCCCTCTGATCTTCAGTGCCTTTCTGCTCACCCAGCACTACTGGGCTGAGC